ACAACAACACTACCTACCACAGCTAAATGTACAATGTATCAAAGATAAAATAGGAAAATTAAAATGTTTTCATGTCTGCTGACAAAAAAAAAATTTAATGGCAAAATAAAGTGGCACATTTAAAATTAAATTAATAAAAATAGTTGAGTAATGAACACAGGCAAGAACGAAATAAAATCATGACCATACTATGCAGCACACAAGACGGCATAAAAAAAAAAAAATTTGAATGACAATAATTAATAGTTAATGGCAAAATAAAGTGGCAAGCCAGAACAAAAACTAAAGACGACGAATTCAAAAAGCATTTCGGTAAATGCATCACAGTTGAAACCATGGCTGGTGTATGCCCTTTTTCCCATTATCCTGTGGGGTATTATGTTGACGCAGTGTTGTGCCAGGCTGGGGTGACGGCAAGATCGTGGGTTGCATGTTGAATCTACTTTCAGAAGATGATGATGGGCGAGTTGAAGCTGGTGTTCTGGTAAAAGGCAGTGGTGATGATGAAGGGGGTGGAATGGCATTGTTACGTAGACGTAGTGTGCCTGGCTGGGTTGACGGTGTGATAGTGGAATACGTGTTGAATTGGCTTTGAGATGACGATGGGCGACTTGAAGCTGGTGTTCTGGTAAAAGGCAGTGGTGATGATGCAGGCGGTGGAATTGTGGCAGTCGGGGAAAAACAGTACTGGTTATGAAAAGACGAAGGCGGTTGTGTGCTACCAGATGATGATGATAGTGGAGGTAGCATTGTATAATTGCTGTTGTCTTGAGTCTGTGCTGTAGATGCTGGTGGGTTTGCAGGCCTAAACATGTTCGAGATCACTTGCAAAAGTTCTAACTGGCGCTCATGAGCCTTTTGCTCATTCCGCTCCTCCCACCTGAACATCTCCTCCTGCATTTTCTGCTGCTGCTCCATGTGTTCGCGGCTGGATTCTCTTAAAGCCTTTTCAAGGCCAACAAACGTCTCATTGGGCCCGTTCATGCTTATGTTATTACCCGTTGAATGTTAGCGGTAATATAATTCGAAGG